CCGAGCTTGCCGCTCGACGTGTTATTGTGCTGGTTGTGTTCTATATAGCTACTGGTTGTTGTTTGGGATGTTTCGTGACTTTTAGTAACTTATGGAATGTAATACAAAAAGGGGAGGTGTTGTCCATTTTCTTGTAGAATATTGGTTTTAATATATGAGAGTTACAACGCTTATGTGATGACGACGAAGTCAGTTTACTCATTGGAGACATAAGAATATCATATTGAGCTTGGTTGACAATTGGAGAGAAGATTGCAAAAGTATGTTAAGGTACTTCCTTCTTTCTTTTGGCATGATCTAAAGTAAAATAAACGTAAACAATACGCTATTTCTTAACAGATCTACTCCTAGCAACTAAGGTTGTCCATGTTGTTCTTTCCTTATAAAGTTATTATAAACAAGTATGTATGATTCTTGATTCCTATTGAGGTTCATATTGATAGTGTGGATGTACGTAATGTTAATCAAAGATGCGACGACCTTGCATCACTCCGAGTGGACTAGAACATAATTCCATGAGTCCAACATGCATTATATATATGTATCTATTGTACTCTACCGAGCTGCGCTATAGTCGGCCGGGGTACGACACCTATTGTGTAATCACTGATCATTTGGGTTTTACCGAGTTCCACATGGCCGGGTACGATTCTACCAAGACTTATGATGGTAGGTTACATTTTTATCGAGCCTATTATGGTGGGGTACGATATGATGATGATGATGCCCACAAAGGCGTCTATTTTTAAAAGTATATGTATATATATGTACCATGTATTTCATGTCAATTGCCTCAGAGACACTCAGATGTTACATGTTATATATTCTATATCTCTCTTTACATTATTGTTCTTATTTGTGCTTTCATGTGTTGCATAATCGGTACTTTATTCGTACTGATTTACCTTTTTCCTGGGGACGCTGTGTTTCATGCTCGGAGGTCCCGATAGATAGGTTGACAGTCCTCTTGGTAGGCTATCAGCTCAGCAGAAGGTGTTGGTGCACTCCACTTGCTCCAGAGTTGCCTATTTGGTCAGTATACTTTGGATATGTATTGATTGGTATGGTGGGGACTTGTCTCGACCTTTATGATGTTTATGTACTCTTAGAGACTTGTGAACATATGTTATATATATGGATACTTGTATGTCCTTGTAGGCCTATGTTTTGAGTGTACAAATAATCATGTCGGCCTTATAGGCTTGTATGTCACATGTATACATTTGTATATCATGTTGGGTCGTCCTATGTCGAGTATTCGCTTATGTTTTATTCTAGTTTTCTTATGATGGCCTTTCCGGCTCATTTATCCATGATAGTGTGATAAGAAAGAAATGTTACATCGGTACCCGGTTGAGTAAAAGGCAGGGTGTCTGTCGCGGCCCTTCGCTTTGGGTCGCGACAATCCAATTAGCTCACAAAGGGGTACAAATATAAGAAATATAATAGCATGAGGCTTAACAATCAATTTAAGGCATATTGTAGTCTAAGCACTACCCTAAACAAGGATAAAACCCGGTGCACGCACATGGGATCAACCCCTCACATGTGTGCCAGTGCTACCCAAAGCACGTAGCTATCAGTAATAACTAAGGCAAATAGTGCCTCAACCAAGTTTAGGTAAGATACTTATCTCAAACAAGCCTAATCAATAATCTAAAAATGCTTTTCTACGCAAATTGACGCTGGAACGACTCGAATCTAGCCAAAGGAAGTTCAAAAACATTAATAATGCCATAGAAATAAAACCCAAACGATAAAGATCAGATCGTTAATCAAATACTCAAAGTCAACCATAACATTAACCCGGACCCGCACCCCGGTACCCCCACAAAGATGACAAATTATGATACTCATCAGAATACAAGCCTAACCATACAAGTTTCATCCAAATCTAACTCTGAATTGATGTTCAAAATCCAATTATTCACTTTCAAAAAGTTTTGCCCCCCCCCCCCTGATTTCCTCTTTTAGATTCACCAATCTAATGCCAGAATCAAAGATAGAATCATGAATAATAATCAAATCTAAGTAAAAAATACTTACCCAATCCAAGTGGATAAAATTATCTCAAAAACTCATCTCAATCCGAGTTTCCAATCTCAAAATATGATAAAATGAGGTCCAAGTCTGAAAATAGAACCTTATAGCACTGCTCCAGGTAAATCCTTCGCGATCGCGGGAACAACTTCATGATCACGAAACATAAAACTTCAATTGCCTCAAAGACCCCTATGCGAATGCAGCCCTAGGCATGGCATCGCGATACTTGGCTTCATAGACTTACACGAACGCGAAGGTCAACCAACATGACATTCCCAGCCTAACTCACACTGCATGAACGGGTGGTCCTACACATGAACGTGAAGGCTAAAAGTTTCAACGACTGCGAACACCTCCAGTGTCCCGAATGCAAAGAATAACGTCCAACCAGCTCCCAAAATACTTCGCGATCGCAATCCTCTTCACGCGATAAAAAAATATTTTATACGAGCTTGTCCCACAGCTAGAAACATAAAAAATAATAACAAAATCAAGAATCAAAGATCAAATCCATTTCTTAACTTTCAAACATCCTAACATTGCCGAATGCGTCTGAATCACACTTAGACATTTTGGATTACAATTAAACTTTGAACATAAGTTTGTTTCAACTATTAAGACTTATTCTAGGTTTCAAAACCACAATCAAAGCTCAGTATCCCAAAACTCAACTACAGTCAAACTTAAAAACTCTCCAATTCTTCAAATTGTCAACTTTCGACAAATAGAGTCAAAATCTTCTAGGACTATTCAAAACCAAATCCAAACATATGCCCAAATCCAAAATCACCATACGAATACATTGGAACCATTAAATCCTGATTCCGAGATAATTTATTTAAAACCCAATCCTTGGTCAATCATCTCAACTTAAGCTTCCAAAATAAAATTAGGTGTTCCAGTTCACCCTCAAACCTTCCCGAAACCAAATCAACCTTCCCCACAAGTCATAAATCATCAAATAAACATACGAAAACATGAAATAAGGGAATGCGACTCTAACATTCAAAACAACCGGCTGAGTCATTACAATGTGTCTTATAGTGCTATAATTCATATTTTATTTTCTTTACAATCGCGCGAAGCACGGATAAATTTACTAGTTCTATATATATATAGTATTCCACAATTTTGTGTTGAGGATTGTTGCACATTGCAGATAAAAAGTTAGACAATTGGGACGAGTTGGTCGCAAAAGTCATGCATTTTCTATTTTATTCGCATCCCTTGTCTCCAAATTCTTTTTTAATATTTATTTTTAGATTTAGGAATTTATCACTTTAAATTCTATCTTATTCTTACATAAGTTAAACTATTGTGGGGTTATTTTAAATGTGCATTCCGTTCAATGCTACTTTTAGCTAAGTGTAAAATGGATATGGACCAAAATCAGAAGTTGATCTGGTTTATTTTAGTTCCAATCTCACCATGACTCTTCCCTTTGATATTATTTATGATCCCACCACAATTAAGGAAACTTCATTTAATCATTCCAAATTGTAGAGTTGAAAAAAGAAGAAGAGATTTTTACACTGTAGGACTCTTATAAAGTAGTATTTATATTAATGTTATTATATTTTGATTATTCCAATAATAGCAGATGTTATTCCAAATATAGCATATTTGAAAGTATTTAATAGTAACTTATTTATTTTTTAACTCTTCCTTAAAATGGGATTGTGTTTAAATTATTAATATCTTATTTTTCTTTCTCTCTCATACTATCACTCTACCATTGACTCTCCCTATTCGAATTTCCAACCTCTTCCCTGCTTTTTTCTATTGCCGTTCTAAGTATCAATTTTTTCTTTTTAATTTTCATAGTGATTAAATTTGGAACTCAAAATTTTAAAACTTGAGACAGCAATGGCGAAAAATTAATCAAGCTATGGAAGCTTATCACATACATATACCCTTAATATATCTTTGTTATATAAATACACACACACAAAAAAAAAAAAAAAAATA